TGTTTAATGTTGTGAATGTTACAAATTACCAGAAAGTCATAAGATTTTCACATTTTAGTGATTATGATTGGAACCACCACAAATGAAATGGAGTGTCAGTGTATACTGATAAATAGTGTTTTTGTTGTAGTTGATTTGATTTTGCACGGAAGCAAGTCTGGTGTGAAGTGACACAGTATGCTGTGTCACAACTGACTAAAAATAGCTAAACTCTATGTCAATAAAAAGTATACCAATCTATGGATACATCACTACTGACACCCACAGACAGTTACAGTTGGAACAGCAGGAGTATGTAAAGACTATCACACGAGCGCCCTTTAAATCTTATTATATTTACTTAAAAAAGAGTTGGGAAAATTGCATTCACATATATTGGATTACCTCCCAGCATTTTTTAACACTTTGTCCCACACTTACACATATCGTTTGTTGGGATCTGGTCAGCCAATCAGGAATCTGTATTTTTTTTTGTCTTATAATCACAATAAAAATGCTCCAACAACATAAACAGGGTCCAATTCAGGAACTCCAATTAGCTGAGGTGAAGCTTAGCCGCCTGTGTCATCATCCACCTGTCAGTCAAAGAGGCCACGCCCCAATAATGCAAACTTTAAACCTTAATGTAATTTAAACAGATGACTTATAAAAAATTCACCCTCCCTTAGAGTTGTTAAGAAGAGGGGAATTAGCTATAGGGTTCAAAACCTTTATTGTAGCAGGGTGTAAATATGTTTGTTTGTCTTGTAAAGTCAGATGTTTTAACACAGCCACTCTAGTGGACATTAGAGGAACTGCAGGCTTCACATTCACAAAGTTATTTATTCAGTACATGTAATTCTATAACTAGACACTACGGCTGAATCACCAAAAAGTTTTCTGCAGTTTTTTAAAAATGTTTGTTTGTTTGTTTTTTTAAAATTCAATTTAAACTCCCAAGTGTGAACTTCCCTAAGGTCTAAATGTGTCTTTAACATTGGGAAACCTGATGGTCTGATGCTTTGTTTGTAGTTTAATATTACCTGATCTACCTCTAAATTAATGTAAAAGCAATAAAAAACGAGTATCTGGTCATTTTTCTGTATATTTCAACATTAAAGATTAGTTTCTTCAGCTCATGTGTGTTGAGATGCTTCATTTTCATGCCACCAGGGTTGAACAGATTTATGTTAAACAGAAGCAGGGATAATAATGGAGACGTGTGTCCTCTGATGTATTCAGTAAATAAACCTCAGACACACACACAGGAGGTTGATTTGGAAGGAAGAGGTTTGCTCTTTGATGTGTGCCCTCAGATATGTAAATGCTCTTAACAGAATGGGTGAGTGAGGGCAAGTGAGGTAAGGAGAGAATGAGAAGCAGAGAGAGAGAGGGGGTTCTCTTTATGTAAATACTCATTCTGTTATCAAAAACCACTTCAAGCACACACACACCTTCTGTCATCTGTAATTAAAATCCTGCTCATCGTGTCTCCATCTGCTCTCTGTTTGGGGCCCCGAGACCTTTTCATGGAAAATTAAAAACATTGATGGGAATGTGGGCACGATCCCACCTGCCAGAAAGATCCAGAGCCCTCTGGAAACCACTGGAAATATGTGATAAATGTGAGGGGGGTGCATAAGGGTCTCCTAGGAACTACAAGTGGCGTCTGGAGTCTAAACAGAGTCTTTCTCAGTTAGGTAAAACACTTGTTGACCTACTTCCTAATTAACCAAGGCGGTATAGTTCCAAAAGTATTTGGACAGAGGCAAATGTTTTGCGTCTTTTTCCTTCTACATCACCAAAAATCTATTTGAAATCAAGAAAAGGAGTACTGAAGTGTTGGTGTGTTCACATGTGTTTGCAGCCCTTCGTGCTTTTTAGTTTTCGTGTTCAGCAGTGAAATACAGCATGTTGAGATCAGTTGGTGTACTCAGCTGCTTTCCAATAGTCTTCACTTTCAGAGTGCTGATTCAGGGGATTTTTGTCCGTCTAACCCAGCCTGTATGATTTGCATCTTAACTGTCTCTTATGAAGTCTTCATGATACATTACTGATATGTCAAGTCTTTTTTTAGCTGGATGTTATAAAAGGCTTTTATTTTATTACAATGGAAAAGATTCTGTGATCGTCCACCACGTTTGTATTCCCTTCTTCTTGGTGCTCATGCAGCCTGTTGATTTCATCTTTCACCTGTAATGACGCCTCTTTGAACTCCATACAGCATTTCTGTGAATGCAAAACTAGCCATCCATCTCTTTTCCTATCTGTTTACCCATTTGATTATGGATTTAAATCAAAGTGTTGAATTTTTAAATTGAACACATAGAATTAAATCCAGTTTATCTCCTTAACCCGTTTTGAATTAATCAGAAATGAAACGACACCTTGTAAGGACATGTTATGTTTTTTAGGTTTGGTTACTGTTTTGGTCTTTTCCTGATTTTTGTAGTCAGTTCATGTGCATCTCCAAAAAAATCTTTTTTTGAAATACAGCATTTTTACATTTTATATTTTAATATTGATGGCCATTAACGTGCACTGTTTCTATTTAATTTAAAAAAAAAAAAAATACATGGTTGCACTGAATCCATTGGATGATGAATACCTGTTAAATTAGCACGATGTCCTCTGAAGTGAGACGTCACTGCTCTGCATGCTGGAAAGAAAAAGCGAGCTGCCTTCTGCAGCTGTGCTTGTATTCAAACCTCTCATGCAGATGAGCCATAAAACACACAAGCACTCGTGTGAGGCTGCAGGACTCTGTTTATTCACTCACTATCAGCCACTTTGTATACACACACACAGCATGTAGAAGTAAATCATGAAATATATATTCCTTTTTGATAATAAGACACACGGGAGTAGGATGTCTTCACAAGTTGTAGGTCAAAATTATTTGAAGCATTTCAGTCAGGTTTCAGGACTAATCACAGTCAAGAAACAGCGTTAGTGAAGGTTACAGAAAGAGAGCATATTTCTCCAATATTGGCTTGTCTTTATTGGCTCCCTGTTAAATCCAGAATCAAATTAAAATTCATCTCAGGAGATAGAAGCTAAAAAAAACTGTAAGTAACACTTTTTAATCAGATATATCATCAAGTCAGTGAAACATCTGGGATATTGACCTGGTCTGGCAAGTTTCAGCTGCTTTGGTGCACTAGAGGGGCAACAACGAGGCATCCCTCAAAACAGGAATGCTTTTACAGGTGGAGGCCACTGGCAATTTCTCCATCCTCATTTTTTCTGACTGTTTTTTCACTAGTTTTCTATTTGAGTAGGCTCAGTGTCGCTATTGATAGCATGAGTTGATACCTGAACCCTGCAGAGTTTGCACTGGTAGTCCAACTCCTCCAGTGCAGAACATCAATTTGTCCAACTGACAGAAGGTTTGCTGTCTCCCAGCACAGTCTCAAGAGCATGGAGGAGATTCCAGGAGACAGGCTTTTTCCACACTAGGAGAGCTGGACAGAGCCATAGATTGCCCTAAACCCTTTAGCAGGAAGGGTATCT